AATTGTAGTGAGAGCTAATGACAAACTAAATTCCTTTAAAATCGTCTTCAAAATATCCCAGACATTATTTGTCTTGTATTTTTACGTGATATTTTGTTTCTCATTTAAACGAAAATAACCCATAACCGTACTTTTTGATAGTATACATTATTTTTGGTTTTAGTCGCTCTCTAGGCACCCTTTAAATATAAATATATACAAAACGTGAAACAAACCCCAGGGGAACACTCGTAAATTTATTTTAATTAATCGAGTACTAATCTTATGGAAAATAATTAATGTGATTAATTAAACGTACATAGCATAGTACTGTATAGCATTACTATACACATTTTGTATTTTTTAATTTAATTCGTATTATAATAACATAATAGCGATTATAAATCCGGGGTAAAAGACATTGGGAATTTAGAAAAACATTTTAAATAAAATCTACTGAATACCGTCGCCGGCCGAAAATATTCTACATCTGATCAGAGTAAAAGTTTCGAAACATAATTAATTTGACCAACGAAAAATTTGATCAGTATTATACAAAAAAAATTAACAATTATTCCAGTGATAATATCATGTGTCGTTTCGTGGACACAAAAATATATTTTATGTTGATAACACTGAAAAATCATTGAATTACGTTGTAACCCATTGGATTTTTCCCTTTAGCGTCTTTCTCGTCGTCTTACTTAATTTATAAATGAATAAAAACCAATTTGTAAATAACTCTGTTTTCGGCAGGCACTGTACGCCTGCTTCAGTCTTCTTTTAGCAATCTCTTTAACTATAACTATACGGGGCCTTTATAACTTACTGAATACCAGATAATTTTAAATTCAAAACCTACTAAGAATGTGAGTAGAGTGGTCCAATAATAACCACGTAAAATGGGGCCTTGAAACCTTGATATTTCAACAAAATACCTGTGTGGACAAGTATACAATCTGTCCAAGCTATATGTAACAGTGGACGATATTTGTCAAATATAAACAAAAATAATGTACACAACGGATACAGTTGTAATAGCGAGTTTATAATGTTTATTTACGTTAAAAACAAGACTAACAGATAAAAATATTATACTCATAATCTCTTACTTTCAAGTGTTTATAAGAACTATTTATTTTATTGCAGGTACTATTGTAACCTATAAATGTCCATGTAAAATGATACCCGATTGTTGTGTAAGGTTATTTGACGCGAAAAACCAAAACAAAAAATAAAAATGTTCGGCATTATCATTTTTTGCCTTTTCCTCGCGCATTTTTCATTCAGCGTTACGTATTCTACAAAAAGAACGACCGACTGATATTACGTATTTTTATACCCGCGGCGAGTTTATTTTCTCGACTATATACTTTAAAGTTTAAATCGTCTACGTTTTTACGACCGTACGAGTTCCGCCAACAAACGCGAGACCTCCGGTTAGCGATATCGCGTGTTCTTTTTACGCCGTCATGCACATAATTTTCGACAATATCCTCCTGGCGTTAAGTTTTATGTTTCTAGGTAAGTATATATATTAAGTGCGTACATGTTTAAAGATCCACTACTTTATACTCGAATAATAATTGTACTTACCTACTGCAGAAACTAAATAATAGTATTCGTGGTTTTCAAAAACGCCAGGCATCGTCACCTGGAGACGACGGTAATAATAATTTTCTTGAGCTTACACGGCGACGACGACGAGTCAGTTAGACACCCTTTTAGATAACCTTATATCTCCGTTATGTCTATTATCTGTCCGTTACTAGTGCATAGTCATGGTTGTTGATTTGATTAATAAGAAAATATTATATATTTTTATTCGTAACATTGTTATTACCATTAGTAATACTAAATTATATGTAAATTCTTAATATTACTACAATTGTCAAAATACTTTAAACATTTATAAAATTCATTAAAACTAGCCAATATTAAAATATAAATAATTTAAGAATTTTAAAATGTTAAGGCATCTTTATACTAATTAAGATATTTAATTTATTTAGCATTCTAGTTTTCTACACATAGTTTTAATACACTAAGTTACTAAATTGTATATTATTTAAAATACAATTAAAAACGAGGAACATTACAAGCTCGCAGTGTGCATTATCCTAACTTATTTTTAAATACTGAGCGAAGCGAGAAAAGTTCTGTTTTTCCTATGTTGTGTATTTTTTTTTCGGCCTGTATACAACTTTTCTAGGTACTAGAAATCTTTCAATTTAATTTTAAATTTTAACGAACATCATAAAAATTACGGCACTTAAAAACGTGTTTTCCTAACTTCATTCAGAATCGCATTTCATTAACAACAATTTATTGTTGTGTATTATTTATATAAATTAAATAATTAGTTTATGTATACTACCTTCCCAACTTCCCACTAGGTGGCATACCCATCAGCAGTATAAGCTGTTTTTTAATATTGGCTAATACGAATTTATATTTAATACCCATATTTAAATTAATAATGACAAAATTACATTTTTAATAAACTTTTGTTTTTGAATCCTAAAACCGGAAATTGTTAATTGTTAATTAAATAATTTGCTCAGAAACGTTTTTCATTAGAAACAGTTTATCGTTGCGGACACAGATATTATAAATTAAGTTACGTTATACATCCTACCTTTTTTTCAACTCAGAACACTTCCATAAAACTTTCGTTAAAAACCATCATCCCTCTCCTTGGACTAATTATAACGCGATAATAATCATAATAATAATATTTTAATAAAAAAAAAAAAATAAAAAATAAAAAAATACGGAGGAACAGAAGATGGCAACAACAATAACAACACCAACAAAAAACCCCACACGATTGTCATTTTGACTGGTGCCGCAGCGAATTATATTGTATTTTCGGCGGTCGGCGGTGATAGTGGCAGCGGAGCTCCGGCTTTTGGTTTTTCGCGATGACGACGCTTTTATCCAGATTAAACTGCCGCCGCGATAAATCCAGCCGAGTAGCTTAATTGCGTATACGCCGAGCGCTCTGTTTACCATAATAATATACATATTTTTGTCGTTCTTTTTATTTTCGTCTTTATTTTTATTTCAGTTTCATCTCCTTCCCCCTGTCCTGTATCAAACTAGCCGAGCACCGCACAAAAGCGAACACAAAACGACCCGCACTGTCATACTGAGCGTATACGCACACACGCACACGTTTTATTTTTCTAACTATAGGTATCCCTCGAGTCCGATTTCAGTTTGTTTTGCTTAGAACACCGTGCTCGTAGAACATCTCACTGCGGTGTATAATTTACGAATTATATCATTCGCAACCCTCACATCGAGGTGTCAAGAGATGTGTGCCCAACGGAAAATTACACTACTATAATCCAACTGTGGAAATTCAAAAATCCAAAAGTTAGGTCATATATATTATACAAAGTGCCGTACTAACGGGGGAGGGGGCGAAGGGTTTGAAATACATTTTTTCGCTGAGCCTGTGCTAAAAAAATGTTAGAACTGCGTTTCCCTATAGTTGTGTCAAAAGTTTGACGAAAATATAAAAGATTGACTTAATTTTTTTCTTATCAACTCGGGGCTCTGTTTTGAGAATTCGCTCAATTTTGTGTATTTGGAACATTTCGGAGAAAAATAGAAGGGATCTAAATCCCTCCAATACAAAAAAAAATGAAAATTTAATTTTGTATGATAAATAATTCATCATATCAATGTTTTTGCATTAATTATTTTTATTTGGAGCTTCAGAAAACACTCATAGTTTTGAATGTTTTTGACACTTTTAGATTCCCAGCGTAGCAAGGGAGTTATTGGTTTTACTAAGATGTTTATTTTTTCTTTCTTTCTTTTTTTTTCTAGTCTGTGGACACGTTTTTCCCGAGTTAACTGGCTCCGATTTTTACTTGAAACAACTTTTCTGAAAGTTCAAATTTTCTAGATTGTACATTTTTAAATAAATAATACTTAAGTGGAAAAAAGAAATCGGAATCATCTTTCGTCAGCAATAGTTTATCGTTGCCTAAAGATATAAATGAAATAACCTTATGTATTCTATCTTCCCAAAATCTCACCTACAACAGTGACCGCACCCGTCCCCAGTATCAGCTCTTTTTTTATTTTATTTTTTTTGAATTATATTCACTAAAGAAAAAAATTCATAATGATTTTTAAATTGTGTAAAACTACACATTTGCGCTAACACTATAACTCATTGTACATAAGAATAAAATTTAATCGTGGCGTGTGTCAACAGTTTTATGATGAGGTATGTTATTATAGTTTATTATCATAGTATATAATAAATCTATAATATACAATAAATATAATTATAAAATAATAATATTTAAGAAAAAATAGACAGTTAAAAATGCATGGAGAAAATGAAAGTATATATTCAATATTCACATAATATCTACATATTATCCAAAAATAACAACTTCTACCTAAATATTTATTTTTAAACTCTAGCAGATTATATTATATTACAATGTAGGTACACACATTTTTAATGTGACTAATTTTTTAGAGTAGATAATTGACCCTTACCCCAAAAAAAAAATAAAAATATACAAACATCGCCTGAAAATGTGCGGTGCGCGGTGAACGTGCTTGTAGTAAAAAGAATCGTATAAGAAGAGTATTGTCAGAAAAAATAGCACCGCGGAGTGTCCCTCGTGAACTATTTTTTAGAGAAAAACTGTTTTTTTTTTACGAATTTCACGTGCTGCGCAACACGGTTAACCGTAAATATCTCATGACATTTTACAAATATTTTTTCCGCCGTACTTTAAACACTCACGTTTTAAATTCACATAGCGTATATTGCACGATATAACGTGCCGTGTGGACAAACGTACTTAAGTAGGGGTAAACATCACTTTAAATTATTGAATAATCGCAAAAAAAAAGGACGATTTAACTTTGAGCGTGGTGATGAAGGAACCCGGACGATGTTTCCAATAATTAGTTTATATTTGTATATAAACCCACGACAAAACGGCAAATTTAAAATATACCGCAAATAACTTTTTCGTAAAAATAAACGACATAAGAACAGTGTAACCGTATCCAAATTCGTTGAACATAAAAAAAAATATTTGTTAAACAACATGACAATATCAAGTCAAACGTACGATCGGGTTTGACGCAAAACGGCTTGCTGACAGGAGATTTTCAACGAGAATGTATTAAACTCGATTGTTTTAAATAAAAACTATAGTCAAAAGCCAGATTCTATGTCATCAGCAGTTTCCAGCCAGCGGTCCGTAATACAAAATTAATTTTTAAACTGCCGATAAGTAGGGGTTGCGTGTAAAATATTTCCGCTTTCTTTAAGTTTTCTTTCACCGTTAAGTACAAAGAATTTCTAAAAAAAATGTATCTTCTCAATGCACCAACTTGCCATAAAATACTCAAAAGAACTTCTGTGAAGTTTTTCATTAAAGTAAGTTTTCTGATCACAAACAACAACCATGTTTACTGTCAGAATTAAAATCACACATTATATCAATCGGACCAAAGGTCAGAAAACTCTGATCACATCTGACGACATTATAACTCTTCAAGAATTTTTTCAGTCACTACGGTGCCACTGTCTTTTTCGATCATGTACCCTTTCTTGTTAATTTTATATTTCAAACTATTCCAGGTCCTATTTTAATCCATATGTCAATTGACTCTTTGTATATCCTATTAATTAGGTCTTTCTATAAACTATACACGTATTTATTTACAATAGTTATTAAATGTTTAAAATATTGGTTAGGCCGCTCAATTCTGAATTTTCCCAATTAAATCGTTGTTCAAGGCAAAACTGCTTAATGAATTTGATCATTTTTGGTGAGCCCACGGAAACCAAACATAACAATGTTTTTTTAAAAATCATAAAAACAGATTTAAATTCAGTGTCAAATATACACTTGATTGACTAGGCAACTTCTTCAAGTTGTATTTCTTAATTTCCGAAAATTTGTTTTAAAAATTTATAAACTTAAAAAAAAACATCGTAGGATAAAGGGGTCGAGCACACCCACAGTTAAAAGTAATTAAATGTACCTGTAACCAACAATAAACTATTGCTAAAAAAAAAAACCATTCTCAGAGGAGTTCAGTTGATAACGCTGTTTTGTCAACTATATATATACATATATGTTATATTATGATAAAATTCCAATTATTCCAATTCCAAAATTAAAATGGATCCCGTTTTTCCCATTTTTCCTTCGTTTTTTTTTTCAGTTTTTCAAATTTGTTGAAAAAACTAGAGAAAATCGAAAAATAACTTCTTTAAAATACCTCCCCATGTCGATTTCTTTTTAGAAAAGACGCTACACATAAAAATCAGAACAAGATCTCAGGTAGAAAAGTTGTTCACAGAACAAAAAAAAAATAAACACCATTGTAAAACCATACGCTTCTTCGCTCCACTGAGAATCTAAAAATAATAATCGAAATAGTAGCCGGGTCGATATCACGTATACTTCATGCTGAAATTAAATCTGCTATCAAAATTAGCATTACTATCCATTACTATTCCATCACGGGGCATAAAATGTACCTAAATATCATTACGTTGTGTAACTATATGAGTTTTAAAAAGAAAAAAATTATCCGTTTCTAATCTGGCCCTTACCGAATTCCTCACAACAGTTAGGAACACGTCGTCAAAGCCCGAGTCGCTAACGTGCCTACCCATGTATATTATACTCATCAAAAGTCAAAACTATAATTATTATATACGCTAAACAGTTTCGGATAATATTAAACAGACGTTTGTTGATGACACGACAACTAAATAATATTATAATGGGCCAAATGTTTTGAACACGAGTAGTTATATAATATTCGTATATTAATATATTTGGTATACGAATAGCAACACGTCATCCACAAGAACATGCCAAAACCAACCGCCAAGACGTAAAACTCGGTCCGGAAAATCGACGCGCGTTTTGAAAAGCAGCGAAAGTATATGAACCCTTCAAAGGTAGGTAGTAACTACATCTAGTTACTATTAAGTATTATAATAATAAAATTTCACTGTTTATCGGCCGGTGATAATATACGTGCCTAGATAATATATTTGATTTAACTTATATACTTATGTATAAATGAAGCATTCAATGAGTTAACGTGTAATACACTCCGAAAATACTCAAAAATTTTGATAAGATAATGGTCATTGTGAGTGATTTGGTCCAACTTAAAAGATAGGATAGTCTTCATCTCGGATATTGACCTCAGTAATTTTTTATTGCAAATTAAATGTTTATTATAGTTCAAAGGGCAATTATTTGTAAGTTTCATAAGTTTATCACAGACGACGTTGTAAGTTAAGCAGGGTATCATGGTACACAAAGAGAGATAGTGGATCTTTGTATCTCTGATACATCGTGATTGAGATTTTTCGGCTGTGATAAAATTAATTACCAAAAGCAACAGCAAAATCAACAATTATTGTAAGTATAAAAAAACGAACATACTTCGCACGATAGGTGAACTACTGTTTTAAAATGAGAAGTTAGGAAGGTTAAATTTAGAGGGAAATTCAATATACATATCTATAAGCAAAGACTAATCATTGCTAACGAAAAACGAATCTGAGCAGAGCTCGGCTAATAGTATTTTAACAGTATAAAATATGGCATATAGTAAAATATTTATTGAAACCATTTTTATGGATCAATAACTAGATTTGTTTCACATCATTTTTTATTAAAATGATTTTCGTCAAAACTTTATACTACAATTCCTTTATAAAAAAATACTACATTAATCTAAAAATTTTTGCTTACTACAAAGTTCGACTTTTAATAAACCTCATGTTAAATTTACAATAATTTCTACTAAATTTACCGATTTTACCACCGAATAGTACTTATCGAATAAAAACTACATATAAAATTAAAAAAATAAAAATATCTATAAATAGCTTAAAAATAGCTAAACTTTTTTGAAAACTTTAACAGAAGAAAATGTATACATAAGTATTCTGTTCAAATTTCAAAGCTCGAATATTTTACAAATATGTTTAACTGAATTAGAACAAATAATAAAATTGTATACAATTAATTTCCCGTTTTTCTTATGTTTTATCCTGAATTTTCCCAGATTTTATAAAAACCGCTTAGAAAATCAAAAAAGTGACCTTTCTAAAGTACCATGTAGACAATATTTCCTTTCATAAAGAGTGCCACATGTACAAATACTTTTATTCTTTTACTAATTTTCTTTAGAACAGATTACACTGTCATTATTATATTTGTAAATTAAAATATTTATTCCATAAAAAAAATAATATCTTTATTATTATATTCGAGTAAGATTTTTGGTAGACATTTTTGTCACAGTATATAAAAAAAATATTATAAAACCAAAATATTTCTTCGCTACATTCAGAATCTAAAATATTTATAATATAATAATAGGTATGTTAAAGTACTTTGCAAATTGTCTAATGCAAATATTAGCAATATAAATATAATTTTAACATTATTATAATACATTTTATATTGGTTTGTGCTTAGATTCAACTTTCGGAAATTTTTTTACTATTAATTTTTAAATTTTGACGTTACGTTCCATTCTCAATCCTGTGAATTATCTAGGGGTTTTTAGTTATTTTTGATACGAATTTCTAATTGTTTATGTAAATATATTTATTTTTGTTTATTCGTGGGTTACCTTTATGATACAGATGATAATTTGATTATTACGGACAAAAAACTACTATTATTATTATTTGCACTATTATCTAGCAATAGCAAAGCATTGCCGGGTCAGCTAGCAATATTATAAATCCTAATGATGGTTCAAACTGAATATTATCCGGAACAATATAAAATAACCGACTCAAACCACAAAATGTCTATAACTTATAATGAACCTCGTGTTAAATTTTTTCAATTTTCGCTTTATCACGTTTGGTGAATTATTAATGTAAAAATAGCAGGCTCTAAAATTATTTTTAACTGATTTAGATTAATAAAAAATAATTGAAATCGACAGAAACTGTTATTGAGTCAATTTTTTTTTTTTAGTTTTTCCCAATTATTAATAAGCAACAAACGATGCTTCCTCAATACACTAGACAACATTTTTTTTTTATTAATCATACCTGAAGGTGACATGATAATCAGAACAAAATATCTGTATGATTTTTCATGATTTGATCGAAAAAAAACAGATACCATCCATTCACAATGTAAAAATGAAAAATGTGACAAATTGACTTGGTTTTTATAATTAAAATTTAAGTTTCTTTGTTTTCATATAGACATTATTGCATAGACAAATAAAAAGGACGTAAAAAATAATAATAAATTAGATTTTGACTGGGTCAAAATGACCTAATGTTTTGACCTATCCAATACGTATTATATGTAAAATTTAATTTTCATTATCAGCTGATGAACGTTTCATTTTAAAATGATTACAATAAAAAACATACTTTACATATTTTTTAGTTTAACGAAATAACAAAAATACAAATACGTTTTACGATATTAAAAACGGTGACGGCGGTGGTTTGCAACGTGTTCCGTGAATTTAAATTCAAAACCACAAACCGCCTACCCCGGGCTTTCACTCACTTGGTATATTTTCGGATAATCTAAAACTTATTCCAAAGATTAACAAGACGAATACGACCCGATGACGACGTGCAATAGAAAATGATTTACACCATAAAATCCTCATTATATAGGGAACTTCTAACGCTTTCTCCTTAAAGTTCTATTTTCGAGGACTTTTAGACTAACGAAAACCTATTTGTGTGATTTCCATAATTTGTTTAGGTAATTTCCCAAAAAATGTATTTTTAATTAAAATGTTTAAAAAATTAAGATCCGATTGATTTTAAAACACGGTAGTTCAACAAAATGTATTAATCATTTACTCTAGTAGTGTGGGACAGGATTAAATAACAGTATACTTTATTTCGAGTTTCAATGTTTTAAGTCAACGTCAACTTTTTGAATTGAACAAAATTGAACTGTAGAGGCTTCCGTGTGCTTAAATATATTTGTGTAAACTGTAATGAACACTCCAAAGGTACTATAGTCTACTGTCGATATTATTTCAAAAACCTTTAAAGTTTAAAGAGTTATCTATTCATTCCACTACAGCTCAGATGTATGTATTCTGTTTAAATTTATTTTTAATAAATACAAATGTACAAAAAGTTAGAAAAAATTAAAAACAGAAAAAAACTATTGTTAAAATCAACGATTTATTAGATAAACGAATAGAAGTAGCAAATTAAATTC